CTCTCTCTTTCTCTACCAAATAAATAAACAGATCTTTAAAAAATAATTTAAAAAATAAAAGAAATCATTAGGACAAGCTGTTTTCCTCCATTCTCAATGGCTTAACAGCTTTAATCAACTTTGACTATTCCTAAATTCCAGGCATGTACTTCAACAACTTCATTATTTTTTCTTCTTTATTCATAGTACACTTTCTAGCAGTAAGTAGAACTAAGTCCTATAAAAGTATTCATTAGCAAAACAATTTAAAATAAAAATTACTAGTGAATCAATATGTAGATGACCTACACACATCCAAAAATAGCACCTCTCCATGACGAGATTAACATTTAATATATTTAAAAACTTGGGACATAAACTCACATTTCATCCACAATATGGGAGGGATAGTAAATAATGTGATTCTTGTCCCCATTCATACCTTATAAATTGTTACAATTTTTAGTTCATCATTGGTCTGATTTGGTAAATCACAAGGATTTGTGATTCAAAAACAGTAAAAAATCTTTCGTGAGTCCTAGCACATTTCAGCATGAAGTAACTAAGACTCATTTTTGGATAAACAAAGTCTCTAATTGCTTTGTATTATCTTTCTTTGTTTATTTTTGAGAATGAGAGAGTGCCTGCCTGTGGTGGGGGTTGGGAGGGCACAGGGGGAGAGAGAGGATCTTAAGCAGGCTCCACACCCAGTGCAGAGCTCCACATAGGTGATCTCATAACCCTGAGATCATGACTTGAGCCAAAATCAAGAGTCAGAGCCTTGACCAACAGAACCACCAAGGTGCCCTGCCTTGTGTTATCTTTAAAGGATAGATACCATCTTGCAGTGAAAATTACTGAGGCAGGGCTCCTCAACCCTGGTGGGAAGACAGTCAAGAAGCCCATCACCTGTGGTACCCTCTCCTCATGCTGCATTACACACATGCTTAAGTGCTTCCTAAAAACTGATTTATGAAAACTGTTTTGGCATCCTGGATAAGACAAGCTAAAACCTACATTAATTAGAAATACAACACAAGAGTTGTGTGTTCCCATAAATGCATAAAGAGGACAACTGATGAAAAAAGGTAGATGCCCTTAACATTTGGAAGATAATGCTCATTAAAAGGTTATTCCCATCTAAACACAGGAGGGAACAGGGAATGGGAAATGTCAGACACAGGGACAAGAAGACCAAGAACCTCAAAGAACAGTAGACCCTCAAATTTATTTAAAGTTCTGAATAAGATATTGGAAATACAGGGAAGATTCCTTATTAGAAGGGGGACCTCATTGGAGGGCCTGGATGGCTCAGCCAGTTAAGTATCCAACTCTTGATTTCGGCACAGGTCATGAGCTCAGGGTCCTGAGATGGAGCCATGTTGTGTCAGGCTCTGCGCTCAGCGGGGAGTTTGCTTCTCTCCTTCTCCCTCTGCCCCTCTCCACCCTCCTCTCTAAAAAAAAAAAAAAAAGGAGACCTCATCAAGGTAAAACGTAGAATATATAAGAGAACTACGATGTGTTAAATGGAAATAGGACAGCAACAGAGAAAGATGAGCTGGTCCAAGGATCAGGATGTAGTGGCAGATTCAAAGGAGAGCCAGTTCCTGGGAGAGGGTGCAGTGTCTCTTTCAGAGTTTCCTCCTAACCCAGTGGTGAACGGTGACCAGAAGACTTGCACAACCCTGACATAGCCCCATCACTGGTGATCATAGATGTACCCATGGTAAGGTACACATTAGAAAGTAGATGAAAGGTACACTAGGCAAGGGTCATGCAGAGCAGGGGCAGTACAGGGGGCAGTACAGAATGCCAGAAGTTAGCATCAATCCACTAAGGAGGGAAGTAACAAAAAATTATTTGAGGAATGTAAGGCACCAATGTATTTTCTATTTTACAACACTGAAGTCAACACCATTAACCATAAGAGATATGAAAGATACAGAGTATCTTGTTTACAAGTAAAGAAAAGTGAGAGTTTTAAAGTAGTTTATTTCTTCCCAAAACAATTTTTAGTGGTCACTAATTTATGCTCTCTAAAGAAATAAAAATTAGGGATTGTTCAGGATTGTTTTATTACTCTCTGCTATATTATCTACAGATTTAAAATATCCTTCCTTCTGTCTCCTACCCAGGCTGGGGTAGGGTCTAGCCCACTACCATTTGAGGTTTATTCCTTTAAATTCAGCACTACCCTTGTTGTCCTCTCCTCTCTGTCTTCTAACTATGTGCCTCTAAGAAATGTATTAATGTATTAAGCCCTTAAGTGTGAGCCCTTAGATAGAGGCTTTCAAACTTTTTACCACAATCCACAGTTAATTATATTTACATCTGGAGCCAGTACACAACAAAAAAACAACAAAAAAACCCCTACAAAACCCACACAGAAGCTCCTCACAACTTGTAACCTTACTACATGTGATAAACTGAACTTTTCAATTCTACTCCACCTTTTTTTTTTTTTTTTTAATGCTGCTAACCCAGCTGTTAGGTCATAGCTCACAGTTTGAAATATTTAGAGATAAGGTACACTGACACATCAAAATAACAACATGAGAAAGTAGGTAAGAATTCCACATTCAGACTGTCTGAACTCAAATACCAGCCCTACCACTTGAAGCTGTTAACCTCTCTCCCTCAGTTTCCTTGTCATGGGGTTAAAAGAACAGTGTTTACCTCAAAACAAGGATTAACCAAGACCTTCCACATAAAGCAGTTAAAACATAAAAAAGTATTCAGTTAACGGCTAGTATAATTCTTAAATGGCCTGTGGACTCTTTTTATTGTGGTAAACTATACATAAAATTTATGCATAATAAAATTTTTGTATAAATTTTATAAAATATAAATATAAAATATAAATATAAATATAAAATAAAAATTTATGTATAATAAAATATGTATTATAAAATTTATCATTTAAAAAATTCATTTTAGGGGTGCCTGGGTGGCTCAGTGGGTTGAGCCTCTGCCTTTGGCTCAGGTCATGATCTCAGGGCCCTGCAATCGAGCCCCACATTGGGCTCTCTGTGCGGCGGGGAGCCTGCTTCCCCCACTCTCTCTCTGCCTGCCTCTCTGCCTACTTGTGGTCTTTCTCTCTCTCTCTGTCAAATAAATAGAAAAAAAAATTCATTTTAGCCATTTTGAGGTGTACAATCCAGTGGCATTTAATATACTCACAATGTTCTGCAAACACCACTATCACCACTCTCTAGTTCAGAACATTTTCATCACCCCAAAAAGAAACCCATTAAGCAGCCACTCCCCATTCTATCCTCCTCCCCAGGCCCTGGCAACCCCTAATCTGCTTTCTGTATCTAGGTCCATGCACTTTTGAAGTAATAAGTTAACAGGTGTAAAACCATTTTCTAAGGTAGATTGAAGTGTTCTTTGGATTCATTAGCCCTCTGGCTCATAAGACAAACTTATGCTCACCATTTGTTTAAATAAACATTGTGAATCACTTTAGGTAATTTTGTGACCTGTCTGGGAGTCAGAAATACCTCTCTCCTGTGAATTTGGCCAAGATTCCCAAAGTCTGACCCATGTTATGAAGGGGACTGCATTCAGTATCCACAAGAGGCAGAATGAGTAAGTCCCTAAAAGAGGTTCCTTCATTACATTGTGGAATGTTACAAAATGATCGAATATTCACCAAATGAAGACTGCTTATTCTTCAGTCTTTGCAGTTTGAAATTTGGCTTTTCAGTCTCTGAACTGTTACCATCAAGAGGTAAAAAAGAGAACTTGGACACAGAACTAGGACTTTCTTGGCTTTAGTATGTAGTATTACTTCCTTTTGGAGCCCCACCCCTCTCACACTGATTTCCCACCCTTCCTCTGGGGTGTGGAAGACCGAGCAAAAATAACTTAGCTCTTCCCGGGATCTATAAGGGGAGTCGCCGGACTCGCCATCAAGAAAATAACAGGGGCAGGGAAGTTACCTTGCAAAGCAACACTGTTCTTTGAGACACGATGAAAGTAGAGGCTTCTTAGGCCAAATAACTAAATGTCACCAAGAGGCACCAAAGATTTAAGCTGGAAAACATCTTTGGTCCCAGTTGCAGAAGTCAGAAGCTTTCGTTCTCTTTTTTGTAAAGAACAGCACCATTCGCCCAGCAAATAAGCAGCTAAGTCCTCATTTTCCATTCTCCCTCCCCTATCCCCTACAGCTTTCCAACCTTCTGGGTGAAAGTCTGACCCGCCTCAGGCACGGATAACATTGGGCAAACCCAGCTTAGAGGTACTCCAATTCGGGGTCCCAGAGCCCAGCGAAACTTCCCGACTCCCCGGGAGTCACTTAATTGATTTTGAGCTTTTAGAATGGGGACGGGGGCTTCAAACAGCAAAACGTCACGCCTCAAACTCTGGGCAAGTCCATGTCCTGAGCTGGGCCAAATCCTGGGAAAGTCCTGAGATGGGAGTTAACTTGCAGTGGACCAAAGAGAATTAGAACTATCCCCAAAACCCCGGTGCCCTAGCAAGTCAGTTGAGCGTGCGGGTCTCCGAGTTTGCCACAATCACCCCCGCGCTCCAAGCAGACCAAGCCAAAGCTTCACCCCAGAACTATCAAAAAATTAGACCTCGAGAAGAGGGACGACCTAGGAAGAGCTCCCTTCCACGAGCGCCAGGCGATCCTAATCCTGGTAAGTCTGGGTTCGGCACGTGCTTCAGGCATCCGGCTCTGGGCGCTCGGGCGACAGGGGCTCCAGCCTCCCACCTGGCAGGTAGCTCAGTGACCGCTGTCCCCGCAACCCGAGGCTCAAGGAGAGGGCTGCGCGCGGGACCGGGAGGACCCCGCAAGGACAGCTGAGCCGGACGCCGCGCACAGGGCCCTCGCCTGGGCGGGACAGCGGGGCCAGGGCCGAAGGTGGGGTTTGGAAGTGACAGCACTCTATCTTCTGCCAAGAGTGAGGCAACTCCGGAAACTTCCACGAGCCCACGCGCGCCTCCCGCGGCCACCTACTCGGTGCCCGCAAGCCGGAGCGGCCCGCGCCCACTAGGCCGGCGGGCGCACTGACCTGAGATGGTCTCCTGGTAGCCCTTGGTGAAGAACTGCATGGCTGTGGCCGCCCTCCAGGGCGTCTTGAGCAGTCCCTGCCGCTGGGGGTCCTCGCCCAGCGAGCGCAGGATAGACGAGTAGGCGGCCGCCAGGTTGGGGAGGTTCAGCTCATTATCCTCCTCGCTGCGCGGCCGTTCGCCCTTCCAGCCGTCCGCCGGCTGGACGCTCTTGGTCTCCGGCCGCGGCGGCTTCTCCGCCGGCCCGCTCGGCCCGGATCGCGGCGGCTCCCCCTCGGGGAACCCATTACTGCACCTGGCGCCCCGCGGCTTCGCCGGCGCCCGCACCGGACCCTTCTCCATGGACCCGCCCGCTGCCGCTCCGGAGGGACTCTGGGACGCTTCGGGGACTGACACTCAAGGGCGCCGGCGGCCGCAGGCAATGGGCTGTGGCCAGGATCACCTGAGGAAAGTAGGCGACCGGCCAGGGACACCTCCTCCGCCAGGGACAGTGGCAGGCTGGAGAGCTCGGCGGTGCCTCCTTTTTATCTGCTGGCGGCAGGGCCGGCGCCGCGGGGCGTTCCCATTGGCCGGAGCCTCCGCGCGTCAGGCGCTCGCCCCGCCCCCTCGCCTGTCCTCCGCCGGGCTCCTTACAGGGGCGGCCCCGGGGGAGGGGCGCGCGGGGGGGATGGACCCGGTGAGCTGCGGAAAGTCCCCCGCCAGAGGCGGTGACTCGGCCTCGCGGGGGACCCCTCCGGCGCTAGCCGGGAAGAAGGGGTGGACCACTCGGGCTGTTGCAGTGTGAACCGAATCCGAAAGGAGGCCGGCGTCGGGTGCTGGAACCTTGGCGAGGGGGGCATGCTCTGTGCGCACGGTCAGCCCTCTCCTAGGCGAGGAAAACGCTGCTTCAGAAGTGCTCTGGTCCCCTCGCTCTGCAAAAGATGACCCAACAGGTGGCCTCAAGGGGAAAAGACTGTGGGTAAGGAAACCAACTCCTATGCTTTGGGGGCAAGAGAATAATATGACACGAAACTCCTGCGTTGGTTAGTTAAAAATTGTCCCACGCACCTGCCACCTACAAGAACCCTCTCTCTGCTCCGAGGGAGAGTGTTAACACCAAGTGGTCCTCGCGTGAGTCTCTGTATCTAGGACGATGGTGTTTGTGAGGGTCTGGAGAAAAATTGATTTACAAGAGAAGAAAAGTTAGGACTTTGATTAGAAACCCATTTGTGCTCTGGGGAAATTTGGTACTGATCGTTTTAGAGTGACGTGCTAAGCTCGCTCCTTTCCGCTAGTGTTGGTACAAATTGTGAAACGTTATTGATCAGCTGGATTCGTAACCAAGGACATCTGCTTTGACGTGTTTTCCTTAAGATTAAAAAAGGGGCTTTTTTTTTTTTAATTGGCTGTTTTCCTCACTTGAGGAATTATTTCATAATGCCAAAGGTAAGTTTTAAAACACGAATCAAATTAATAACGTATGATTTGCTGCAGAAGGTTTCTAATGCTGACTTTCTGACATATATACAGATATTAAAAAGCTTCAGATCATACAAACCAGGAGAGAAGCCCCTGAAATCGTTCCATACGAATATAGTCATTGTAATTACTAATTAGTATCTATTGTATCTATTAGTATCTATTGAATATCTGCTCCAGACATAGCCCTGTTCTAAGCATCAAGGAAAGAAATACTGAATTCCTCCGCCACCTTGGCATCTTTAGTCTAAAATAGAAGTGTTTCCGGATCCTGGGTGGCTCAGTGGGTTAAAGCCTCTGCCTTCAGCTCAGGTCATGATCCCAAAGTCCTGGGGTCCAGCCCCACATCAGGTTGCCTGCTCAGCAGGGAGCCTGCTTCCCCCTCTCTCTCTGCCTGCCTCTCTGTCTGCTTGTGATCTCTGTCTGTCAAATAAATAAATAATCTTTTAAAAATAAATAAATAAAATAGAACTGTTCTTGCCAATGTGGTTTTTAAAGATAGTTATTGAATTTCTATATGCATTAAATACCAAACTACATAAATCAAGAAATATGACCATCCCTTGGGCTCTTTGTTAGTCTGCTAACATTTTTGTGAGTTTTTTCCCCCTCAGCAAGATCCTGCAACATTTTTTCCCTATAACTGCACTGTCCACTGTCCACGGGTATTTTCTGGTCAGAGTTATCCACTGGGTCTCAAACTGTTTCAGCATAGTTGGAGACAACATTACAGAATGGCTTTGTTTTAGCCAATGAAAACAAAGACACCAAGTGAGGTACTTTTAAAAGAGGAAGGATTCCGTGGAGACATTTTCAATAAGATTTTTTAGTGGCAATCTTGTGCCTACCTTTAAAAGCATTTGTAAACATTAACTACTGTTCTCTAAAGTCAATTTCTAATTAAATTTTTACCCTAAAAATTAAATTTTCTTATAAACACTGCCACTGAGGCATCAGCACTTTTGTTACCAAATAGTGCAAAGTCTCTGGATTTGTTCTATGAAATATTTACTTGTTAAATGCAGACAATGCCTTTCAGCCAAATGCCGGAAGGTAATACAAGGAAGCTTTACAATCACCATTATAGACACAGTTTAACAGTGAAATGTTGGTTGTTGGTGAGGGTGGTTATAAGTAGAAATGAGAGAAGAGGGAGGAATAAACTAAAATAAGAGGGACATATTCCCCAGAATTTATTAGCACAAATTATTTCAACAGTAAAACTATGAGCTTTCACAGTCAGAAATTGTAATGGCATCTAGGTTTTCTAATCCAGTAAGGGACCCATTTTCACCTTGGACCCAACCTGGGAATTGCTTTCTATCAAAAAACCAAGGAATTTTTTTTTAATTCTCCCATTTTTAGGAGAGTAATAGAACAGAGAGCAGATGAGTAAGATACACAGAGATTGAGTACTGTAACGCTTTAGAAATATATAGTCACTTACCAAGGGTAACAGGTAAACTAACCTTAGGCATTTGGCAATTTTAACTGGAAAAAAGTAAATTTCTTTAAATGCACTGGATGAAGATTTTATATTTGAGATTCAAACTTAAGAGGATATTCTTGATTAAGGTGGAAAGATGAACAAGAAAAGTGTCATCATTCCGCTCCTAACTTCCAGAAGTAGGACTATGAAGTCAATACAATCCTGAGATGTCTCACTAAATTCCCCAAATGTCAGGGGAAGCAAACTAAATTGAGGCCCTTACCTTTTTTCTCCTCTGACTGAGGAGGAATGGAACGTTTGGAGAGAAAAATGGAACACTGAGCTGATTCTCTGAGATGGAAAGGAATGATCAACGGCTCTATACTGAGCTGAGGAAGGTGTCCACAGCCCAAAATTACCTCACAAGGGAAGGGTAGATGTACGCCAAATGTCACACGTCCCTGGCAGAGGATCTTAAATCACCTCAAAAGAACTAGCATGTGCTGAAAAGAGGGATACTAATGAAGAGTGTGCTCTATGACAGATGAACACCATCCCAACCTTCACAGTCCCTCAACCATATATCACAGTCATATATCATAAGCATATATCACAGTCACCTCAACCTCCAAACCGTAGCAGAGTCAGGAAAGCAAATGAGCTTCCATAGTAATGGGAACACAAAGAAGTCATCCTCAATAATATTATGCATGGATGGAACCTAGAAACAGCATGGCAACCAGAGCAAACATACAATAGCCAAACAAACAAAACTAAACAATGGTGGAAATAATATACCATATAGAAGACACGAAGACAAAGAATGCAGCTGAGTAAGAAATAAAGCTCATGGAACAAAAGAAAATTCCTCACAAATGTTTTATGCTACAAAACAACTTAAAAAATATGAGTTCAGTATGATAAAAAAACTGAGATAATAGAATAATAAAATTGAAAAAGGAGTTACAGATTTAAGGAAATGAATTGAGAACCATCATTACTATGGAATTTCTTAAAAAGAACCATGTATAAAATAGATACTGCAGAAAATGTAATTACCGACATGAAGAAAGCAGGTGAATGAATGCAGAATAAGAGAGAAAGATGAAAACTTTTAGAGAAGACAAAGATGATCCAGCATAAGAATAATTAGGGTTCCAAAGATAGAGAACACAACAAATGAGAGAGAATGTAGTCAAAGATATAATACAAGCATATTTCTGTACCAGAAAGAAACCCTTATATTTATATGCAATTGATTTTCAACAAGAGTGTCAAGACAATTAAATGGGGTAAAGAGTCTTTTCAACAATTGGTACCAAGGTAAGTGGACATCCTCTTGCATGTAGTAAAAAAAAAAAAAAAAAAAAAAGAACCTGGGGTGGGGATTGGTGAAATAGGTGAAATTGGTGAAGGGGATTAAAAGGTATAAACTTCCAGTTATAAAATAAATAAATCATGAAGACAAAAAGAATAGCCTAGGGAATGTAGTCAGTTATATTCTAATAGCATATAGTGACAAATGTGACTACACTTATTATGGTGAGTTCTCTATAATGAATAGAATTGTTAATTCACTATGTTATACACCTGCAGCTAATATAACATTGTATGTCAACTATAATAAAAAAAAAGAAAGAATCGGATCACTATCTCACATCATATACCAAAATTAAGTCAATTAGATCAAATACCTAAACATAAGAGCCAAAATTATAAAACTCTTAAAGGAAAACATAGGCATAAAACTTCATGTCCTTGGATCACCCAATGAGATTTCTTAGAAATGACACTCAAAATGGAAGTAACTAAGAAAAAAGAAAATATAAATTAGACTTCACCAAAATTTAAAACTTTTATGCTTCAAAGGACACTGTCAAAAAAGGAAAAATATAACACAGAGAATGGAAGAAAATATTTACAAATCATGCATCTGATAAGGGACTAGTATCTAAAATATATAAAGAACTCTAGAGCGGCTGGGTGGCTCAGTGGGTTAAGCCTCTGCCTTTGGCTCAGGTCATGATCCCAGGGTCCTGGCATCAAGGCCCACATTGGGCTCTCTGCTCGGCAGGGAGCCTGCTTCCCCCACCCGCTTCCTGCCTCTCTGCCTACTGTGATCTCTCTCTCTCTTTCAAATAAATAAATAAAATCTTAAAAAAAAAAAAAAAAGAACTCTAACAACTCAATAAAAAGACCAAAAACTGATGGGCAGTAATTCAGTGGACAAAAGAATTGAATGGACGTTTTCCCAAAGATATACATAGTCAAAAAGCACATGAAAAGATTCTCAATGGTATTAGCCTTCGCAGAAATGCAAATTAGGGTATGAGTGAATACTGCCTCACAACCCCTAGGACAGCTGTATTCAAAAAGATGATAACAATTGTTTCTGAGAATGTGAAGAAATTGGAATTCTCATACACTGCTAGTGGGAATATGAAACAGTGTAGCTGCTTTAGAATATGGTCTGCAGTTCCTCAAAAAGTTAAACATAGAATTGCCATATGACCCAGCAATTCCACAGCAAGTAGAAACCTAGGAGTAA